AAGTATACAACAATGCAATAGCATCTTTGACATAATTCAAGATGTTTTAGATTTTAAACCTGCATATTTCCTTTAAAGTGCATGTACTAAATGTCTAACAAAAAATGAAATAATGGGGGTTTTATCCCCTCCCCATCTTTATCACCCGGCCACATTCTTATTATCATCTCTAATCTCTCAAACTCGGGCAAGTCCAGTCACGACTTCCACAAAGCTGTTAAGTACTTGGAAATAAGATTTGCTGAATGTAAAAACTCAGCAAGCAAACCCAGAGGCTTCTTATGTAGGGCGAAGAGAATGTGAGGAATAATAAAAATCTCAGAAGAGAAGTGACAAGAGGATTGCATGTGTAAGAGGCAGAGAACAAAGAGAGCCCATTTCAGGCCTCTGAGTACGATATAAAACCCTGACTGGCACCAGTCATTGCTGGATCAATAACTCTTATGGCCAAATAAGCCTGTAGCATTATGTTTATCTCGTCACGTTTATACTTAATAAGAGAGCAGGATGTGACCTCTTGACATTTCGGGTTGGCTGCATGCAGTTCAGGGACACAAGGCATTTTTCCCCATATTCCAGGTCCTGATACTTCTAAGGCTGCCCAGTCCAGAGCCTGGGAAAACGTTAGTGGCATCCAATCTTTTCCCTGCAAAACTTCAGGGAGGGCTTTTTTCATTGTAGTACTCACCAGTATTGAATGCCAGCACCTTTTAGGGGGATCTCCCAAGTCTTGAGGAGGAATTGGTAGAAATTGGTGCAACCTTATACATGAGCTAAGGATGCCATCCTCCAGATGGGACCTGGGGAATCCCCAAAATTACAGCTCATCTCCAGACTACAGAGATCAATTCCCATGGAGAAAATGGATGCTTCAGATAGTGGATTCTATAGCATTGTACCCTACTGAGGTTCCTGCTCTCCCCAGGCTCAATCCCCAGATCTCCAGGATTTCCCAACCTGGACCTGTAAATAAATTGCTTTATCTGAATGGTTTCTTTAAAACAGTATTTTTTTCTGTTTCTCAAACAAATAAAAATATTGTTTTCAACTGTGCTGATGAGATTGTTAGCCAAATGACACAGATACTATGACACCAGATACAAAGGAGATCCATTTTTATTAAGGAACATATTTGGGTCTGTTTTGCTATCACGGTGATCAACATGATAAGGCTTATGTAAACAGCTCTATTACAAGGGCCACCATTACTTGCCAGGATAAAAAACTCTTGGAAAACAGGAAAGCTCACTGTTAAGCAGCTGATTGCAACTGCAGCCAGTTTGGCCCCACATTTTGTTGCAGCAGCAGAAGCCCCTTTGCTGGTAACTTTAGTGTGTACACAAACAGGAATATTACCTTCTCTTTTTCTTTTGGCTCTTAACTAGTATTCACTATTCAGCTTTTTACAGTTAACAGACCCAATGCAACTAAGGTTGGCAGGTCCCCAGGCCGGGCAGCGGTTCCCCTCACTCACAAATGCCCCCAAGCACAACGTAATGACATCTCCTGGAAGTTATGTTGCCAATGACATCAGGGGATGATGATCTAGTTTTTGGGCAAAACTCTATGGTAAAATTGGGCTCAAACCATGGAAATGAGCTGGGTGACTTTGGACCAGTCACACACTCTTTGCCTAATTTACCTCAAGCGGTTGTTGTGAGGACACAATGACGAATAGGAGAATGCTGTAGGCCATCGATGAGAAAAGTGAGGTACAGATGAAGTAAACAAATAAATTATTGAACCAGACTCAGATCATGCCTTGAGTTCCTAGCCTGAGAGACCTTCTAGCCACAGTATTAGTGGAGCACCCAGCATTCAGACAGCACAATAACCATTTAACTAAACTGTGGCTTCGTGCAGGGTCTGAACTTGAGAAGAAGAGAAGCAGAATGGCAGCTGTGGGCAAAAAAGACACAGCTCTTGCAAGTTCAGAATCAGCATGTAGCCTTGAGCAACACACACAGAGGGAAGGGGAGACAGGGAGGAGCATAGGCATGACTCAGTGTGGCACACCGCAAGATGGCTCCCAAGACGGTTTGCTCCTGTACAGACAGGCCACAACTTCTTCCACTCCTGACTAGCCCCACCTGTCTCTCACAGTGTCTGTTGTGGGGAGAGGCTGCTCTGAGACTTCGAGTGAAGGGCAGAGTATAACTCCTCCCTCCTCCTCTTCTCCTTGCAGGCTGAACACATGTGGCTGACTTCTCCTGACTCAGACCTTTGTCATTCAGGTCAGCACTGACTGCTCAGACTGGCAGTGGCTCTCCCAGGCAGAGGTTTTGGTCTTCCATAGAGATGGCTGCAGATGGAACCTTGGGCCTCCTGTAGCAGCAGCTCTACCACAGAGCCATAGCTACCCATAGTCTGTACCAGCAGTCATTCGGTGCAATGTAGATATTTCGCAGCATTTGCAGGTAACAAGGTGTACTATTTCGGCTATACCAGGTTCAAATAATTTATTTTTATTTTGTTTCATTGACTTCATTCATAGCCTGCCTTTCTCAGTTAGACTCAAAGCAGATTACAAAAGTTAAGAAAGCAATTTAATCTAGGCTTCCCAAGTCCCCCCGGGGGCTCCCCGGCGCCGCTGGAAGTGACGCGACCGTGCCGGGCACGCTGGGGGTGGGGCTACGGCCATCCGAGGGAAAACTCTATGGTTTTCCCTTGTATGGCCGTGGCCCCGCCCCCAGCATGCCTGGCGTCGTCATGTCACTTCCGGGTGACGTGCATGCGGTGCGCGTGCACAAAGTGCGCATGTGTGCACACCAGACACCGGCCGGGAGCCCCCCGCTCCCGGCCAAGATCGACTTGGCAACCCTAATTTAATCAGACAGCAAGGCCATCTAATAAACAGTAAAGCAAGAGTAGGGTCACAGAACTTGAAAACAAGCAAACAGCAACAATAAATTTCTAAGGCCGGGGTCCCTAACCTTTTTGAGCCCGTGGGCACCTTTGGAATTCTGATGCAGGGTGTTGGGTGCAACCACAAAATGGCCACTGCAGGAGGTACAGCCATACACACACACAGGAAGCCCAATTGTGGGGAAGAAGAGGGGTAATTTATAATTATATACTACAACAGACGAGTGACAGAAAAAATAAAACCAACAGTGTGATAGCAGCTGCTGCCAGGGGGGGAAATGTTATTTTAATCTGCACAGCTAATCAGAACTCAAATGGCCAATAAGAGCCTCGCTGGACAAGAACCCCACCAGGCCCCACCCACTTTCTAAAAATACCTGGCAGGCGCTAGAGAAAGTGTTATCGGGCACCTTGGCACCCGAGGGCCCCAAGGTGGGGACCCCTGGTCTAAGACATGACATACCTTAATACAGAATGTGGATTACAAAGCCGGAAGGCAATGCAGTAAAAGGGAGGTGATACAATAAACACTACAATAGACTGCAATCCTATTCTCCTATAAAAGCCTACTTCTGAGCTATTCCATTATGCTACAGTTCTAATCTCTTTATGAAAATGCCATTCTGAATTGTCCTAAATACACTTCTCTTACAAGGCAATTTCAAAGGGAGATTAGAAAGAGAGACTGCTGAATTGCAACTGATAACGAGGCTTAAGATAATGCATCCACCTGGACTGAATCGAGACCTAGGTTTCCAGTGTCTGATTTCTCTATGCAGAAGCTCACCTAAATCCAATCACGTCTGCTATTGTCATTCACCTGCTATTGTCATTTGCCTGCTAATGTTATTTGGCATCTGAAATCATTCCACTTTCCAATAAATAGGACAGATGGACTCCCATTCTAGCTGTATCTGAAGAAGTGAGCAGTGACCCATGAAAGCTCATGCCCTGACACATATTTTGTTAGTCTTTAAGGTGTTACTGGACTCTTGCTCTTTTCTACTGTCCTAAGTACAGTTTGTCTGTGTGCATTTATGAAGTGCCAAGATCATGTTCTGCAATGCATGAAATAAACAATTTCTGTGTTGTTGTTTTTATTAGTGTTATATTGTGGGGAAACTATACATTTAAACAGTTTAGATAAACCAAATCCAACATCTGCTGCCCATCTGAACTTATTCCATCAAATAACAGGGTGTAATCTGATACACAGAAAGATTTGTTATATTTAATTTTAATAATGTATGATCATTTCATTCTATTCATAACAAAATATTAATCACTTTACATTATAAACACAGTTATTTTAAAGTGCTTTAAATGTGGGGTTTTCCCATTCATTCAGGTCTAAATTCAAAAGGCAATCAAGAAAAGTTTACAGGCTTAGCAAATATTTGATATGGCTTAAGGTTCCATAAAGAGAGATTTATTCTATAGGCCACAAACACTCAAGTTGGAAGGAATAGAGACACAGGTCAGGTTCATAGAGAAGGTCAATTTTAAAAATACCCATTTCGTGCCAACTCAGCCACATTCCATTCATCAGCTCTCAAAACGTGATACTTGCCCCCCTCCCCCTGGCCTGGAAATGACGTCTCTATTACCAAGGAACATAATCTTGTAACTATCTCACAACAGTGTTCACAAACTGGAAAAACAGCTTTAGATGGCTTTGGGCTAACCGTCTCCTTGTGCTGATGGATTTCCCAAAGTGGGGACTCGAGCTGCTATGATGTTAGCATCTGAAAAGAAACATACCTCCTAACCACACCCCCTCTCTCTATAAAAGTTACAAAGACAGAATCAGTTGGGATCAAGGCCATGTGCAGAGGGGAGCTTCCATGGTCCCCCTCCCTACTGGTATGTATCCTGGCAACCTGTGCCCCAAACTCAGGAAACCTCTGAATGTGCCAGAAAAAGCTCTTAAGTTTGAAAAAGAAACTGATGACATCCTGCTGGTCATGTGGATGTACTTGCATCCACATATCTTCTTCTGCACCATAAATTGTTGTCTGAAAAAGTGTGAAAAGCATGCATCCTGGCCCCACTGCTGGACCTCCTGATGGCACCTGGTATTTTTGGCCACAGTGTGACAGAGTATGGGACTGGATGGGCTATTGGCCTGATCCAACACTGGCTTCTCTTATGTTCTTAATAAGCCAATCACAGCAATGGGGGCAGGGAGGGAGGTGGAATTTTTATTGCATGTTTTCCAGCAAGTCCTTTCAAAAGGAAGAAGTACAACTAGTCCCATTTTTAAAAATGCATTATTTCCCCAATGTTACAAACCCACCATTACAATATGGTCTGTTCCCTTTATAGCATCTACCCTCTCAGCTGAATAATCGGTTCGTACAAAGCTCTGCTATATGCACAATGTGGCCATGCCTTGATCTGCAACCGAAGTGCAGAAAAAATCACTGCACTTATTTTAATGCAATTTCCACCCAGCTCTTCAAACTCTCTTAAAAATAAGGCATCATTGATTAATCCATAATTGCTCTATAGTAAAAACATACCCAGTTCATTAATCTACTGCTTTATAGACTGCCAAGCCAAACACCTGTTCTATTGGACCAGCAGGCAAAGGGGCAACCCAAAACTCCAGTCAAGACCTGTTGTCCCCGTTCAGCAGGCTGAGAAGACTTCTTCCTGAGAAAGGGCCTGTCAAGGTTGAAGCGGCGAGTCTACAGTAGATGTTTCAGAACAGGCTCGGTTCTTCACTGCCCCGGGATTCGTTTTCCTGAATGTACTTAAGAATGTCCACCTCTCCCATGCTTTGTGCCTTCACTTCTGTTGACTTTACCTTGGAGGCTGTGCATACTGGAACTTTTGAATCCACTGTCGGCTTCTTTGGTACTGCTGGCTTAGGAGGCACTTGGGGCTTTGGTTTGGGCTTAGGTTTAGCGCTTAAGTTCCACATTTTCTCAAAATCCTCTTCCACTCTAAGGGGGGAAGTAAATTAAAAAGTTAAACCAGTGGCACTTCTCTTGAGTAATGTCTATTGAGTTCAGAGCCCAGCTACAGTGAATGGCAGCAGACCTGAGCCTTTGAGAGAGAGATATATCTTTTATTTATATAATATAGCAATGATTTACAGTAGCACCTACTATTAAGAAACCTCTACAATAAAAACATAATTGAAAACACAAGAAACACAAGAGCAATAAAACCGAACAACTATTCAATATATAGCTATAACCTTCAAATTATCTGGAAGTGCCTTTTCCAGCTTACTATGTCTTTCCATATATTCAAGAAAGGGAAACCAATGTCCCCAAAAATCTGAATGAAACTCTGGATTCTCTGCCAAGGATATAACTGATTTTGTCCATGACCAGGTATTCCCGTAACTTATTAAACCACATAAATGATGAGGGTTGTTTACTATTTTTCCAGTGCCTAGCCACTAAAGTCTTGGCTGCCACCAACATATAAGAAATGAGATCTTTCCTGATGGCAGGAACATCTATCCCCTCCCATAAATTAAATTTGTAGACAGCCTTTCCGTTGCGGCATCCATGGTAGTTTAAAATTCACAAAGGAGGCCTACAATATAATAAATACAACACAAAAGGAAGAGAGGGCAGAAAGAGGGCGGTAATAAAATCCAGGTCCTGACCCCTTGTGGTGGTGGAAAGTGCCATCAAGACACAGCTGACTTACAGCGACCCTGTAGGGTTTTCAAGGCAAGAGACATTCAGTGGTGGTTTGCCATGGACCATGACCCTGGTATTCCTTGGGAGGTCTCCCATCTACTTACTGGCCAGGGCCGACCCTGCTTAACTTCCAAGATCTGAGGAGATCAGACTAGCCTGGGCTATTCGGGTCAGGACTGATTCCTTAGACAGCTTATATATGGTCCCAAAATGATCAGACAGAACCAAAAAAGCAGAAGAGGTGCCGGACTGCCATTGGCCTCAGGCAGGCCGAGGGAGGAGGCCTAATTGTCTCACCTCTTACTTTGACATGCATGTGTCTACGTCAATCACAAACAGAATGGAGGGATGGGGGATGGTATTTAAAGAGCAACAAGTCTGAACAGCACTCAACTTTCTCCCAGTCGCCACCTTTTTACTACCTCTAGTCTGTCCACCAATCAAGACTCCAATAACAGAAGTGAGCACAACCAGAGAAAAATCAGTAGAGAGGGGAGAAGAGACAGTGGGGTGCAATGTTCCCTCTAAGGTGTGCAGTCTAGTGAGCAGAAATTTTACCCTGTGAGCCAAAAGTGGTTCTAGAGTTAAAACTGTGAGCGGGCCAACATTAAAAAAAATTATTAAAGTGTACAAACATACAAACAACATGTAAACTATTATCATTTGTATTACAAGCCATATATTTATATTAAACATATTTATATTTATATGAAACATATTTGTATTACTTAACCTCCCAGGCTTAAGGGCACAGAGAGTCACTTTGCAAAGCACCAGAAGCCACCAGATCGCCTCTAGCAGGCTCCCCCCCCCCACTTTTCCAACTAACTTTGCAGGCTTAAGTGCACAGAGAGTTACTTTGCAAAGGACCAGAAGCCACCAGATCGCCACTAGCATGCTGCTGAGCCCAACTCCCTCCCTCCTTCCAACTAACTTTACAACCTTTTCCAACGAACTTTACAGGCTTAAGGGCACAAAGAGTCACTTCGCAAAGCACCAGAAGCCACCAGATCGCCACTAGCATGCTGCTGAGCCCAACTCCCTCCCTCCTTCCAACTAACTTTACAACCTTTTCCAACGAACTTTACAGGCTTAAGGGCACAAAGAGTCACTTCGCAAAGCACCAGAAGCCACCAGATCGCCTCTAGCACGCTGCTGAGCCCGGCACCCCCCCCACACACCTTTTCCAAATAACTTTACAGGCTTAAGGGCACAGAGAATCACTTCACAAACACCAGAAGCCCGGCTCCCCACCCCAAGACAAAACAAACAACCAGGCAGGTCACCTCAGGAAGGGCAGAAGCTGGGCAACAGAGCAGTCCTCCTTCTGGGCCAGGGTATCTCCAGGAGCATGAGGCAGAGGACTGCCAGGGAGGGTAGCAGCACCCCCTTTCACAGGGCAAGCAAACCGCAGCTGAGGGAAGGCGGGGCCAGCCCAGATTTGGAAACACAAAGCATATGGCTGTGTTTCTGTGCTGCCTGAGCAAATGGATCCATGCTGCATGGCCACTGGGAAGGGAACCTCTCGCCCCTACGCTGTGGTAACAATTGCTGCGCTGGTCATGGGTAATCGGTGCGCCAGTGCAGCTTGGCGCAGCTTAAAGGGAACCTAGGTGGGGTGTACCCCTTTTTTATGCTTTGAATTCACTCGGCCTTTACGGGTAACTGGAGTGGACATCTTTTAAAGACAGCTCTTCCACTATCAAATGGCCAGACCACAGAAGTGACCAGACTCACCAGAGCTTTAGAAGGGATTTCTTCACACTTGCCCATACATCCTCATGTAAGAGAAAATACTGCATATCTACAAAAACAAGCCTGTGACTACTACTGTATGTACTCAAATGCAAGACTATATATTTTTTCCCCAAAAGAGGGGAGGAAGTCATTTTACCTCTGCATATAAGTTACAGTTGTGCCCAGTAATATAAGAAATTTCTGTGTATAACAATTTTTTAGGAAGGTAGTCTTACATTCAGGATCATCTTCCTTTTGAGGAAATATGTAATTTCAGGTCTTTGACAACCAGACATGGAAAGGAACCACTCATCCCTTCCATCCATAGGCAAAAAACAGTGGGAACATCTGAGATGTTGCATTTATAGTTTAACATATTGGATCAGAGCTACTGTTCTGAGAAGGGAAAAGAACTTCAGATCTTTGATGGGATTGTCAAGTTGATATAATGCTTTTTCCAATGACTTTATTCTTTTTTTCCAGCTCATACAAGAGCTCTTGTGCAAGTGGAAATGTTTCACAGAATCCAACCCAATGTTTGGGAGGCATATGATCTGGCAACCTTGCTGAACCTAAGGAGCCATGGTCTGGTCTATGTAAGGCTGGCAGCTCTGGGTAGAGAAATGCTTGGAGGTTGTGTGGGGCAGAGCCTGGGGAGGGTCTGGTTTGGGAAGGGGAGGGACCTCAGCAGAATGTAATGCCATAAAGTCCATCCTCCAAAACAGCCATTTTTTCCCCCAGGGGAACTGATCTCTGTAGTCTGGAGAGCAGTTGTAATTCCAGGAGGTTGGCAACCGTAGGTCTATAGCTGGTCAATTTCCTAAAGCCAAACAATTAATTAATAGCCAGACTTCCTGCTTTTGGGGGTATTTGTGCTAAAAATCAGGGTAAAAATAGTTTGATCAATAAATGATGGAAGAAAGGCTGGATATATATGAAATACATAAAGGAGTTCAGAGCAACAATGGTGCAAAGAATGTGATACGCTCACTTTATAAGAGAAGAAAAGGAATTATTTGAACTAATGTCCAAAATATTTGATTCCCCAGCATTCATTTTCAGTGTTTGCTTCGGAACTTCATAGTATTTTGCTTCCAGCAAAGCAAACGTGAGTGGCCGTGACGTCTATTTACTCAAGCAGTCGTAACCGTGACTCATCTCTTTGAGCACCTGCTATTTTAAAATTCACATATTTATATAATTCTACAAGTCAAGAACAATTTAACAAGGCAGATGTTTGCAGGTCTGTCGGCTCCTTGTAAATGTTGTGTATGTGCAGAATTACACTCTTGGCACTTAGCCTATACGCAAAGTAAACAGCTCCTATTATATGACCCCCTTGATTTTGTATTTTTAGTATATTGCCTGCCCAAAGATGCCTTTATTGTTGTTTCTGAGTTTTCTAGGAAGGACTGACTGTTTCATAAGCAGACATGGAAAGGAACCGCACATTTGTTCCATCCATGGGCAAAAGACAGTGGGAATATCTGAGATGTTGCTCTTATGATTTAACACAGTGGGTCAGAGCTACTGTTCTAAGGGGAAAGAATAATCTCATATGTGATAGTAGTTTTAGATGCTGAAGTTTAAGAATTCAGAAGTGGGAGAGATATAGGATGTGAGTCTGAGGGTGATACACCAGCTGGCAACCAATGTTCCCTCTAAGCTGAGTTAGTGTGAGCTAGCTCACAGTTTTTTAGTCTCCGGCTCACATTTTATCTTAGCTCAGGAAGGATGGCTCCAGAGCAAACTAATTTATGCAGCAGCCAAATTGCTTGCTCACAACTTTAATGCCAGTCACTCACAAAGCAGAATTTTTGCTCACAAGTCTCCACAGCTTAGAGAGAGTATTACTGGCGTGGCGACTGTTTTTTGCTACCGTGGAGTACTCTACATGGAACCAATCACTTTGGTGGAAGGTGTAGGCTCTTCCTCATTGGGAACTCTCCAAGCAGAGGCTGGATAGCCATTTGTCAGGGATGTTTTGTTTTATTTTATTTTGGGATTTTTATTCCCCCACACACACACACCAAGTGGACTCAGGGTGGATCACAAGAAACCAAGTCCAAGACTCATTACAAAAAAATCACATTACAATAATTAACAGAATAAACAATAAAATTTGCACAAGTAGCAGCAGTTTCATATAAATTTGCTAGGGCCACAAGGGGGAATCAAATGGGCCCTTTCAGCGAATTGGGAACTAGAGCAGGGAGGCCAACTAAGATAGACACCCACTGCCTCACCCAAAGGTCTGGTGGAACAGCTCCATTTTGCAGGCCCTGAGGAATGATAGAAGGTCTCACAGGGACCTGATCTCCAGTGGGAGCTGAGTCCACCAGGCCGGAGCCAGAGTGAAGAAAGCCCTAGCCCTGGTTGAGGCAAAGCGGATGTCTTTTGGGCTGGGGGTAACCAGAAAGTGTTGATCCGGTGAGCACAAGGCTCTTCGGGGCACATATTAGAAGAGGCAGTCCTTCAGATATGTCTGTCCAAGGTTGTGTAAGGCTTTGAAGGTTAATACCAACACCTTGAAACAGATCCGGTACTCA